TCTGCCTATAAACCTGAAACAGAAACAACCTTAAAACTCCCCAATTTTCCATGTCATTTACAACTCTGCAATTTCATTAATTACTTCTATAACACACAGAAGTGCTCAAAATTCAAAACATTTAAAATATTTGCCTTGTAACAGAAAGGCCATACTTGCATGAACATATTTAAATACAACTGTAACTATCAACAAGAACTGCCACCACCTAGGGCAAAATAAAAGTCTTCTGCAGTCAGTATTTTTTTTACATATATACTAAGGAAGCGACCATATTCTTTCTGGCAGCACAAGAATAGCTGCAGAAGTCAATTTAGTGCATTTTTAAAAACAATAGTTAAATTGTAAGGCATAAAACTAATGCAATGCAAGAGAAGGGATAGTAGAGTCCATAAAACGGTATCAGGTTCATCAGGAATATTTTTATTTGAAAGCTACAGATCTGCATTCTTCAGAAGTGCCTCTATTTTAAAACTCATCTCTTACAGAACTGCAGCAAAGGTTTCTTGTCTGAAGATAGCCACTAGCCAAATGACCTCATGAATTTAGGATTTATAAAGTTTTAGTTCATTTTTATGGAGGTAACAAAATGACTCCAACACAGATTTAATTGAACTTGTTTAGGATGCATCAACACCACTCTATGAATTGCATAAAGCTATTTTTAATTTGGATAAAAACGCAGAGTTGACTATTTCCACACTATTCTTCTCACTCAGTCATCCTCATTTGTTCATACTATCCCTCGTCGTAAACCCCTATTTTATCACAAACCATTCTCAATAGCTCTGTTGACTCCTAAAACACTGCTGCCTCTACTCCTTTGCTTTTCTGAATCCTGAAAACAGCCTCTACCCACCCACAACACTTGACACAGTACCCTAATTTAGTCTCGCTGATCATCTCCGATCCTTTAGCATTGCCCACTCCTTACCTACTGTAGGCACCATCTCTTTGTGCTGTCCAATACATCACACTCGGATTTCTTTGAAGTTTTCGGGGTCCTCTACCCTTTCATTTCTAGTTTCATTGTCAAATTTCACCATCTCCACACTGAATTTCCATACCTATTACATTAATTTTTCTATTGTATTAATCTCTTTCTTTTTGTTCTTAGAGTTATGACAGCTAGAAAGAACACAGAGATAAAGCTTTACCCTCTTAAGATTGTTACTTCTACTCTTTTGCTGCCCTTTCTTACTTCTACAACCTCATATTTAGATATAATTTCTTCTTATTAAAGGCCAATAAATACACTCCAAACACATTTCAATAGGATTATTTTGGGTTTAAGTCCAGTGTTCATGGATCAGTAACCACTATGTTGTCAACTGCAGCCCTGCTCAGTTCCCAGCTGTCAGGAAAGTAGTATCTACACCATCACAAAATCTATTGCTGTGGTAAATAAAAACACAAACCCAAACAGTACGGAATTCCTGGAAGTCATCTGAGAGTGTCCTAGAGGCAATCTACAACTCATGCTCAGAAACTTCTTTTTGAAGACTTGGTAGGCATGTTATCTTTCACCTATCATGAATTCTCTGTTTCAGGATGTCTGCTAAACATCCTCCACCTACTCTGCGTGCAATTTACGGACTGGAACAAGAGCTAGTAACCAGACACCTGGGACCACATCAAACTTCCATCAAAAAATCTTCAACTTGGTTACAATCAGTTTAAAGACTATTTTCTGGTTTTAAATAGAACTGCTCCCACTTACAGTGATCCTTAACCTTCTAACATTATTCTGATTCAAGAATAAACTCAAATACAGTTATCTAGTATTCTGAAATGTTATATTCTAGTTAAAAAAAAAAAAAAGAATTAAATATTAGAGCCGAAGGAAGGTCATCATTTCATGTATGGTCTAAGCATGCACTGCTGCTAAAAGCAGCCAAACTGTTCTTCCCTTTCTCCTTCGTTACTTGTTTCTAGGACTACGTTCTCCTCGCGAATGCTTCGGCTGGAACGCAATTTTCTCCAATCCTTAGGCTCACACAATGCAGCCAGCCACTTCATCCTGCCATAGAATGCACTACAATAAGAGTGCTCTGTGCAGCTTTGTCTTTTTTGAATAATGCAATATACAGACCATGACTTCTGTGCATGGTCTCACTTACTCTTCATGCTACTAAAAGGAGAAAAGATTAGTTCAACCAATTGCGCTCTGCACGTTGTTACAAGGTTCTACTCAAAATTAGTATTAACAGTGTACTTTTCTGCTTATTGATAAAAATTGATACATAAATATGTTTTGACACCTTTCCAGAAAGTGTAAGAATTTCCTCATTATATATTTGAATCTTTAAAATCATATTCTGAATTTAATAGAAAACTTCTTATCAAGGAGTATACTTTACATTCTGGGTTTTGACAAGAAATCATTAATATTAATTATATTTTTAAAAATATTATCTCTAAAGTAAGGAACCTTAGATGACTTGGTTGCCAGAAATATCTATTACAATATTAATAATCTAAAAAAAAAAGGGAGGTTGATCTGAAAGATCTCTAAGTAGCCACTGCACAATCTTAGCAAAGATCTTAATTTTTTTATGTAGCTGTTCTGATGAAAAATAAAGCTAAAATGAGAAAAGAATATTAAAAGCTAAGAATGTAATTTAGGGAATATTTGATCTCAATTTTCTATATGAGGTTGCTACACATTTGAAAAAGACTATGCCTAACACTAGTACAGTCATTATTTTAAATCATTATTGAAGGGGGGGGGGGATCATGTTTTGCCTTTCATTAAAATAAAAAGAACAATAATATTGAAAAAAAATCATTCTTTCTTACGAACATCTTTATTCATACACTCATGACATTTGACATCCCACTGAGCTGTGTGTGTGCACGCACGCACACACACACACAGAGGCAGTACACAGAAATCAGGTAAGGTGCAAAGGAGGCATGCATTCTTATACAAATCAAACTGGAATGTATAGGGTTTTGGAAGTAAATGAAGTAATATTCTGTGGGTATGTAGGATATATATGAGGATATAGCCAAAAAATTAAAGAGAACAGATAATAATCCTCAATATCTGTAATGGGAACATCAGCCTCTGGCCTATGAAATAGTAAAGTCCTTATAATGCACATCTGCCCTAGCCAGGCTGCAAGCAGAAGAAAACCTATATGGCCAGGTAGCTACCAGCCTCAGCTTTAAAGAAAAGAAAAAGCCTTCTTCCAAGGCTAAGACAAGACACTGTAAATTCAAGGGTTTTTTTTTTCCATCATCATAATTAGTACCCTGAAAAGAAAAAGAAAGAAAAAGAATGAAGAGATTTATTTAGAACAACTGCAAATGACTCATTTAACCTGCATATCCACTAGGATAGATAACTTCTAGGCAGATAACTCTAAATGCAGTTTCCATGAGAACAGTCACATCATGATATTTTTAATGTCTTCTCTTCGGAAGTAATCTACATTTAAAATACAGAAACTAGCATTAGGAAGCTAAACTGAAGTTGAACTTAGGTTCAGACCCCAGTGCAATACCTTTACTCTCTAATAAAACAAAGCCATTCTATAATAGTACCAAGAGGACAATATCCACATTATTACTAATTGTGCTACATTCATCAAGTTCTGGAACAGTGCTTTACTCTCCCCAGTAAGAAGCAATAAATTTTTTTTTTTTTAAAAAGTATTCAATTGCCTAAACCCTATCCTACCAAACAAGGTCCAGAAAACATTCTGACTACAGAACTCATCCAGCACAGAAAAGAACACCCACAGATGTTGAACTACGCTACACTGAACCACAATACCCAAAGCCTGAAATAATTCTTGCTGAGTAAGGTAATCCCAAAGACCAATTAAACATAAAAGCTCCTTTAGAGAAAACAGTATTTTTACTACTCAGAAGCGGCACTTGATGCAAAGGAGGGAGTGACAGTGACAGTCAGTGCCCATCCTGCTCGCTCCCAGGAACCAGCAGACAGTTTTCAGTCCACCAACATCACGTGGCTGTGGGTTTTGTAAGCCTGGTGTCACCTGGGATATGCGGGGGCTTTTGTTTGTAACTGGAAGAGAGTAACCATGTAACCACACCTGCCTGCTCCTGACTGTGTTAATCACAGGGTTCTGATTCATATTGCATAAACTAATAGCCAACTACTTACCTATAAGTAAGAATCAAGAAGCAGCTTTTCCACCGTACTAAGTGAGACTTTTTATAGTACTGATAGAACAGTGCCAGAAATCTGAAGAATAACTCTGCAAAACTATCACAAGTTCTGCTAGGTCAGATATACAGACCAAAAATGGCACATAGAAAGCCTATTCTGACTGCTATGGGCTAACCCTCAGAGTACAAAGAGAGGACAGTAGGCGAAGGGCCTTCAAACAAACAAACAAAAATCCAACCAAACAAAACACCGGTGGGAAAGACATTGAGGTACTGTCAGCTTTGGAAGGGGCAGGCAAGTACGCTGGGTCCATGAGCAGCAGCAATCCCCAACGCGATCCCCAACTGAACCAGGAGATACTTTAAGCCTTAGTTATAAATGAGGGAAAACGAATCACATGCTAAGCAGACAGTTTGGGCGGGGGAATTCCACTCATGAGTCTGTCTGGGATTTGTTTTTCTTTACAAACGGGCATTTAAAGCCCCTCATTTCAAAGCCCATTCCAATGCTGTCCTTTAGCAGAACATTCCAGGCAAATGGCTTCTAGTCAGAAGCAAATCCCTCTAGAAAAGGTTTCCTATCTTATAAGCAGAGCACAAGTGCAGCAGCAACACATTTTGAAGCATACAGAAAAAAGGACATGCTCTGTCTGCTGCTGCTACTGGAAGAACTCCGAATAATGGACTGCTGAAAACACCATTACTAAAGAAATGCTGATAGTAGAAAATTATGTGTGTTCTTTTTGTCCAAAAGAGATGTGTTTCTAATAGACACAAATAGCAAGAATTAAATGAGTAAATTAACAGCAGAAATATAATAGTAAAATCTATGGGAACTGTAGGTGCTCCTTTTTCCTTACCTTCTTCTGCCTCATCCTCCTGGGAGGACATAGGCCCTCCTCCTCTTGTTGGGCTGACCAATTCTTCCTCTCTTGCAGATTCTCTTTGTAGACTGACAACTTCATAAATTGCATCCCCAGCACTTGTGTGGCTTTTTCCTTCAGACTAAAACAAAATATGTTTCTGTATTAGGTCCACACTATTGATAAATACAGTTCTAACCGTATGCCAGAACCAAACCCAAACACACATAAACAAGTCTCAAGGTTCAACAACAGTCTGTGCAAAGCTCCCTCAGGTTTCTTTGCAATGGCACACGCAGACCAGCAGCAACTGACAGCTCTGTTTCTCTAAGTTTTATAGGTAGAAGACATAAATAAAACTGCACTATTTCCAAAGCTGCCTCTTAACAACCATTTTAACTATTGTTCATAACAATGATAAAATAAGTTTTCAAATGTAAATAGCTATAATGAGATGAGGTCAAAGAGAAACTGCAGCTGGAGGGGTGGGCAGGAATTTAATGGTAAGAGTTTTTAGTAAGCAAAGACAAGACTAAAGAAGAAACAAAACCTCACGCCTTTTGAAAGCTGTAAATAGTGAAAAGCTCCTTGTAGTGTTTTACTCATTAAAAAAAAAACAGAAAAAATTCATCTTTCTTCCAGAGAGTGTAACTTGTAACATACTCCTTTCCATGGGGAAACATATTGGCTGCACTTCACTACAAAATTTGTGTTTGTAGCCTAAGCTTTACTTATTTACTAATTTTATATATGTGTGTGTCTGTCCCTCTGTGTGTGTGCATGTATATCATGTATATCTGTCAATCTAACCATTAAATTGGCTTGCAAATTTCAGTGTGGTATCTGTAACATGATATATTTTGAGGTCAGAATATTTTCAGTGGAAAGCATTTTGTTCTGTAAAAGCAGTTTTTCTTCCAAACCTCTCTGTCTATGAATCTGACAACTTTCAAGGTAAACTACTTCAAAAGTTGGGGGGCAGTAGCAAGTTGTTTGTTTTCTCTTTACTTTAAGCTGAAAAAATTTGAAGTCTATTCCGTGTCTTTCACTTTCAAGGGACTTTCACGTGCAAAAGTAGTTAGTTACCCATATTTTAAGCACTGGATACAAGGTTGCAAGTTTTAAAATAAAAGCAGTATTAGATTCTCTTCCAAGTTACAGTTCCAAATACAATTATTATTCAGTAGCATGCCATAATTAATATATTTGTAGAGAACTGTATAAAACAGCAAATTAATTATTGCATTAAATGAACCAGCCCAAAATTTTGTGCTATTTTGTCCTATGGGCATCTTGCCTAATTAGTTAAAGTAAGATAATTTTTTTGAATATATTAAAAGCATCAAATTAACCACGAAAATGAGAAAGAACACCATTTCTGTTAGACAATATTCAATTTGTTTCAAAAACAACATTATTATAAAGTTGGAAGACTCCATGACACCTTTGTTGGAGATGTACATGAACTGCTGACCAGCACTTGTAATTTCAAGAAGGTGGTGAAATTATGCAGATGGGTAGCTTAAACAGGGACTGCTGGGACTGACACAATATAAATAATTTCACGTATTTTGTATTAATCATTCAGTTCTCCTTCCTTTAAAGCTGATACCCTCTGAAAGCAGTGGCTCCAATTATCAGCCCGTTTTGCTGACTGAACTTCTCGTGAAGTCAGCTTAATGAACTTTGGGGTTTAGGCATAAATACCTTATATTTTGTAACATTTCTCAGAATGGTATTAGAGCCATTATCCCTGCTTTCTTCTTACAGAACACCAGTATCAAGTAATTACAAAGTACTTGGCTAAATCAATTAATGCCACTAATATTATTAACCATCACTATCTATAGCTTTTATTTTTGAGGGAGAACATTACTATGGATTTCGGTCTATGTTACAAGAATTACAAGTCTTCGGGTCCTTGCACATGTTCTGGTTAACTGCAAGACCCATCTCTATAAAATGCAAATAATTTGGCTATTTGTATTTTTCTGAAGCACACATTTGCTACCTACAGGAATCCTTTACAAGGATCATATTCTAATGATAAAAACATGCATGACTAGCACAGTGAGACAGATAGGCAGACAGACAGAACAATCTTAAATCACACAGCATTTAAGTCATTCTTGGTATCTGACTGCACCTCACCAACCTGGGTTCAGACTATTAAATCTATCTGAATCCTTCCTCAGAAGAGTTCCGATTGCTCTCTGCCCATGCAGGCAGGTCCCACACACCCCTTGGAGGAAAACGCCGTTTCATTGCGTGCTTCCTCTTGGAACATCAGTAATGGATGCTTTCTTACTGGAATGGGCACCTTGCTGAGACAGCTCAAATCCAGAGTTTCTGGCCAAGGCCTCTGCATGCTGGAACTTAGAGCTGGGCAGACTGCATGCACAAAATTCTCATCCACAGTCAAACCTGCTACATTTGCACAATGACCGATAGCATTATTGGCACGATTTTACACCAGTAGGGAACTGTATCACAGGATTCATTGTCCTGCACAGGGAAGCCAGTAGATGCTTTTGATATCAATGCACTGTTATACTCCCCAGAATCTACATAATCTCAACTGCTTTCCCCAAGAGTTCACAAACAGCTGATCCCAATGCCATCTGCAAAGTTATTTTCCAAGGACCAAGAGTGCCCTGAGGCACACCATCTTTCAGAGGTACCTGCAGGAACAGCTATCACTATACACACTGTCCAACTGATAACTGGCTACACAAAGACTTGCTACAAGTCAGCCAAAGAGATTCTGTCACCCATGATCAGGAGCAAATCTTGGAGAAAGATTACAAAGATTGAAAGCGTTCCTCTCCCAAAAATGTGCACAACAGCTCCGCCGAATTTTACAGCAGGAAGAAATGAATGTGATTCTTCAGGGAGGGGAGGCACATGTATATTGTCACGTTGTGAGGGGTGAGACAGAAAAAAAGAAAGCATCCATATTACTCAATTAAAAACCACAGTTGTAAATGATCTAAAAGGAAAGCTTAACCGATTATAGATAAGTATCACACAGCCGAGAACATAATATTTTCAAACGTATTTTCTTTAAGTTTAAAATGTAGATATTCTCCACATTCGCATGTAACAGTTCATTTTCTCAGATTTTCTTAAATTCTAAGTTGCTATGCTAATGTCTAGAAGAAATACATAAACAGCATTGCATGAGATTTATTTACTCACTAAGTGTTAAACACAGCTGCACTTTTGCCATGTAATATTAACATGACTTGTTTTTTCAGACATATTACTGTGCGCCACAGGAAGATGACAACTCAAATATTCACATCAGGCTCAGTCAAATTAAATCGCTGCTCTTTGGTTTCATTAGTCAGAGACGATAGGCCACTACTCCAATGCAAATGGTACAGCTAGCCTCTGCTGTTCCCTTTTTGAACCACCACCACCTCAACAGAAGTCTTTGGAGAAAGCAGGTCAGTCGCTGCAGAAGGATGCAGTTGCGCATCACCCTCCACTGACAGCAGGCATACTTTACGTACCTCACCCAATGCCAAAACCAGCAGAGACGTCAGCATTCTGCTCAATACAACAAACCTTACCAGCCGAGATGTATATACCATCTCTCAGTGCTTGAGGAAGAAATAAATGCACATTCATCACACCAGCACCGGACTAGAAAAACTAACACACATGGAATACACAACTACGCATTAAGCTTCATCATAACCACTTCCCCCCCTCTACAGAGTCGAGCAGCATTTGTACAACTTGACATACAAGACAAACTCCAAGCGACTGCCAAACTGAAATACTTCAGAGAAAAGAGTTTGTTAAAATAGTTATTTCTTTACCGCTGTTTAAACATTTCATAAGCTTACAACCACCAGCAAGAACTCACACGAAAAATGCTAATTTAATAAATCATTGCAACAATAATGCCCTTAGCCTTACATTTCAGAAAGGCCTGGGGCACTGAAGGATAAGAACGTAGTTCATTTTATACCCTCATCAGCAACCACGAGAGTGAAAACACAGCAACTTGTCCACACAGCAGAACTTACTTTTCCAGATAATCTTCTTCCAAACTTACCTTTTTGAAAACATGGAGAAATCTACCTTCTCAGATACTTCGAAAAAACAGTAATAGCCTAACTCTTTTAAGTCTCTGCATTAGGTTCCTTTGCCTTTAATGGATTATATTCTCACAGCCACCTACCTTCACATTTTGAACCTCAGTAGCCAGGATTTCCCTTCGTTACGTATTATTTGATTTTACAGTGAACAATTAAAGAGGAGTTTCCCAATTTTACCAGTCAAATGGACTTCCTTTAGATGTCTGCACACAGGTCAGATTGTATGAAATTATACAGAACTCAACAGGTAGGTTCAGTATTATTTAAGCCTACAAAGTCAATGACTTATGACTCATTATAATCCAGTTTACAAAGACACTGAGCATTTACATATGCTACTTAACCATTACGCATTTAAGGATCTCAGCAATAACTAGTTAAAAGAAAGAAACTACTGAGGTGCAGGTGCCATGCTAACTTTTATGAAGGCCAAATTAAGACAAGACAAAACAAATGCTCCCAGCATCGGGTTTTCTTTAAAAAACAAACATGTATTACCTGTTTTAGCTTCATATAAAAAGTTTCTGTGAAGGTTTTTCTGCTGAAGTACCAGAAGCGTTCATTGGCAGGATACACACGCACAACAGTCTCCAGCAAAAACCGGACTGGCTCTACTACTTCAGTAACAACCATATCCACTGCCACAGTCATGAACACACGCTTATCTAAAACACAGAATAAGTCACATACAGAAAAATTAGTCAAAGTTCAAATTTCTCAAAACAATAAATGACAGAACTGTTGTTCAAACTGAAAACCCTTTCTATATAATTATTGATTCTATTGCACCCATTTTATTGACCCGAGTTCTACGCCCTTCATGCCTGCTGCATAGAATGAGAGTATGCATTAAACAGTCTACCAAGTAACTCTGATAATTTTTTAGAACAAAGACAGTCTGTCTGTCTTAAAGACAGGAGCAAGACATCAGGCAAAGAAAACAGCATTAAGATACATGATCCCGATCAGACAGAAGGAACATGCACACGATAAGGTCACATTTTTAAGTGCAAACTTACGGCTGAGTGAATATATATATGTATAGTAAATCAGTGTCAAGGATCTTCTACAGCACTGTTTGTCCTGAATCCTCTCATAACACTACAAAACACTTCAGATCATTTTTTACGTCCGTGCTCATACTCTGTCAGTTAAAAAGACTTAAAACATTTTACCCCTCCCTGTCCCACTCTCTGGGTCAGACAGTCCTCACAGCAGCAAAACAAATTTTTAAAGCCAAGCACGGATCAGCAATCTCAATCTGTAATAGCCCCATCTTCCTGATACTGAAGCATAACTCCAGCTTCCTCAAGTAGAGGAGAATGCAGGATCAACTGACCAGAGGATGAGACTGACACAGTCCTAATGTATCCTGCAGGTTTACAGCACAAGAAAAGCACAAGAGATGGGTAGTAACCATCAATTTGCGTCGCAAATTATATCTTTCTTGCAGAAGGCAGAGATTTTTAAAGTAAACATTTAGGATCAGACTTTACAGATCCCTAGGTTCCCTTCTCTTGTCAGACCAAAGAGGGGCAAGTGGGCATTTAAAAAAAGAATAAAAAAACCCACAAAAAAAACAAACAAAAAACCCCTACACCACAAAACCAAACCATACCACACACACAGTTATTTCATAAAACAGAAATAGTGTCAAGCTGCACAGCGAGAGTTTTGCCTATATGCTAATCGAAATAATGTGGTTTGAAAATCCATCAGCAAGAACAGTGACACTGGCTGTATATACTTGGATCTGCCTTTAACAAACTGATGTGAGCTCTGCCGTGGGACAGGACACAAACTCCACATTTACATTCAAACCTTTGCATCACATCAGAGAACATCAATTATAGCGATAAGAAACTGCTATATAATCAGGCACTTCAGTGTTTCACTTCCAATTGCCCCAAGATGAAGGGGATGTAATGCTATTTGTAATCAACTCACCTCAAAACTAAAAGAAAGAGAATAGCAATGCCTACAATTTATACTGCTTTGCTGAGTACAAAAGGCAGAAAACAACTTCTGCATGCTCAGGACCAAGGAACAGCCCATAAGCCCCAAACACTAACTTCATGTCTCTAGATCAGCAACGCACAGCTCTATGAACAACTATTCACGTTTCCGTGTTGCATATGTTTATACAGAAAAGTTCCTAGCCATGGACTCTGTGAACATAAAGCTATATGTACTCAGACATATGCACCACGATTCCCAGGAGAAAATACATACCATATCAGGTAAATCAAATTTACAAGTTAAATTACCTTTAGGAGTTTCCTCGTTAAGTACCAGAAACATGGGTGCATTAGGATTCCACATTCCAGTAATTACATAAGCCTTCCCATCAGAAGTCTTTCCCATGGATTCCTAAAAATAAAAACATACAGGATTCTATTAAAAGTCACAGTTTAAGATCAAAGAGATTGAGTGTGGGGTGGGGAAGTAGTTCTAGGAACTTTAGAGTACGATTCTGTTCGCTCTACAGAACACAATCTAAATAGAGAATATGAAATAATGGATTGAGAAAGGTTATAGTGAAAAAGGAGAGAAAGAAGAAACATTAGGAGAGGAGAAAAATTATATAAGAAACTGAAAACAAGATAGCCTATCAACTTCTTTTTTTTAATGCTTATTATAAGCAGATAGCGTGGTGGGATGTCTGCCATTCCACTTTCCGAACAGCAGAGAGGGTTGTTAGGAGAGAATGAGTTACAAGAGACTCTATAAAATTAAACCAGTCCCACAGTATACAGAAATGGTCCAGAGAAAGAAAAAAAAAAAATCTTAACAGAGTAAGACCTTAACAACTCCAACCCAAAGATCAGGCTGATTTTTCTCTCTCCGTAACTATATCTTTGCCAGATTTTTCCTTGAGTTTCTCAGGCATGGACTTACATTTGTAAGTATGCCGCTGGACTACAATTCCAGCTCACAGGACCCTGAGATTTAAAGAGCCAAATTTCCGGACAATACACAAATAAAGTCAAAACAGTCAAACAGGATAAAGTTAATAGTGACAACAATGCCTCTACATCTGATAAACTGATGTTAGCAAATAAAGTCAGAAAAAATTGAGCTAGTAGATACAAACAGGCAAACAAAACAGTATTTGCATATCTTGTTCTGGTAAGAGATCTAAATATTGATAGCTAGAATCATCAACATGAGTGAGTGAAGAAATGGACTACGTAAAACTGTAATAACTGTACAGCCACAAAACGTCTGATTGGTTTAACTCAAGTATTTGTTGACTTGAAACTGGTTGTATTCTTATCCGCAGCATGAAAGTAAATTTATATTATCACAGAAAGTATCATTATTTTGCAGTTCTCTTAGATTAAACTCCTAAGAAATGAAGATTATAGAAGACAAGTGAATACTTCATACTCTGAGCAAGAATTTAAATTCAAATGAAGCAAACAAAGGAAATGTTTTCAGCACCTTGCAGAAATAAGACCACTTCCCCGATGCCCAACAATTACTTGCTCTAAGTTTTAAGGCAACATGGTTAACACAATACAGAAAGCTTAGTTATTTGTAACTACCAGCTGACAGCTGATCTAATCAGTGTCTGCACCAAACAATCACAAAACAGATGCCACAGGTTTTCACACTGAAATGTTTTGCCCATGGTATGTAACAAGTCTGTTTGTAGTTTTAAGATATAAACACCAAGATTTAAGAAACAAAAACAGACAAGAGGCTTGTTTGTTTTGGTTTTTAAATTGTCTCTACCTCACTATAGGGATTATTAGAGCTAAGTATTACCATGTCCAGTAAATGCATGTCGCTGTTCTTCACCTTTCGTCCAGCGCTTAGCAGCATCCCAAAGCATCTGTGAAGTTCATTATTAAAAAAAAAGATAGATAGATATTAGCTTTTCGAAATACAAAAGTATTTTCTTGAACATAATGGCACAACCACCTACTGCTTCTAATTTAAAGAAAACCTTTCTTAGTAATTTTTTGTTAGTGTTATGGCAACGCTCAGGAAATATCACAATATATATTACAGAAGTGACAATTAAATTGCTTTCCAGAATGAAGATGACATAAATTAGTGCCTGACCTGTGAACAATTAATTATTCTTAAAGACAACTTAGAATATTGAGCTTAAAGAAAGCAACGATTCCTATACTGCAGTGATGGAGATTGGCAAGAAAAAATTCAATCTCTCTCCAATCCATTTTAAAACTTGTTTTCAAAGAGCCATATGAAAAGTTACAAATTCACACATTCTATCACCCATAATGTCACTGGTGTTAAAACATCATGTAGCATCACAGGCCCTTAAAAAAACTACTTTGCTCAATTTTTAGACTTTCATTCTTCCTTTTTTAAAACAGAACGTCTGTATTTTATAGGGCCTTGAACTCCAGATTCCAGTTCACTCGTTTAACAAGAAAACATTCTTGATATTTTTACAAGTAAAAAAAATTAAAATTCCAAACCACTCTTAAAACACTCAGACTTTCAAATTCCTGAATATTGAAGCACTACTACTCAAAAGAGGACTTATGTTGAGAAAACAGTTGCCCAGGGCCCTGTCAGGTCAAGTTCTGAGCATCTCCAGGAACAGAGAATAAACGATCTGTTTTGGCAACCTGTTCCAATGCTCAGCTCCCTTTGTACTGACAACAAGTGGCCTCATTCAACAGAGGAATTTCCAGGGAAGTCACTTGTGTCCTTTTACTCTAATCCTACCACTCTGCACCTCCAAGCAGTGTCTGGCTCCATCTCCTCCACAGCCTCCCACCAGGTATTTGAATGCACCAGGAAAAGCCCCCCATTGCCACCTTCTCTAAGTGTGAACAGCAGCAGTTCTGTCACATGGGCAACCTACTTCTCCAAATGAAAATTTAGATTTTTCAGCAAACATAAACGGTAAGAGATTATTTGAACATTCATAGGTTAGCAATGAAGACAAAATAGTTTCACAGCTTTCAGACAAGCAGAGATATAATAGCAACTATCACATCAATAATGCTATTAACTATATAAGTCTTATGCAATTATTGCACCATCTAGTAAGTTTGCCCCTATTATGTCTGGGTATATGATTTTCATTTTCCACCTCATTACACTTTAACAGCAACTTACGTCCACAATTGTATTTCTCCTTCTCCATACTCTTTCACTACTAGAATCTTAAAAACCAAAGTGGTAAATAAACCAGCAGACAACAATTTTGATTTATCTACACAGCATAATGCAGAGTGCCACACAAAGCTACCAAGGTAGCTAGGGGGCTAGGACTTATATCTAACTACACAAGCAGGCTTCTCTCTGAGCCTAATTAGACCAGGCAGAACGTTACAGTAGACTGACTTGCTACTTCTTGTTCCTGAGATAGAAATAACTCTGAGAGGGCTATAATTTATAATAGTTGAGGGGTCACTAGCTTCTGGTACAACCACTAAAGAAAACTGCAAGGCTAAGATTCAGAAGCAGGTAAAGTATCTATGCTTCTTAAAGCTCATAGATTCTAGATCTTGCTGTGCTTCTCTCAGATGTACACAAGTTCTGGTGCGTGCCAGCCAAAATTTTTTATAAGTATGCTTCCAAAGGAGGGGGAGTCAGAAACAAGTAAACCCTGCCTCTCATAGAAGCAGAGACTTCTGATGACTGGCAGCATCCTGCTGCTAGAAGAGTCAAGGCTTCTCCTCCCATGAAGTTCAAAGAGCAAAATGAGTTCAAATGAGTTCAGGACCCTCACTTGCAGAGGAACTAGATTTTACACAGACAGTTGTCAACACGTTCAGCCTCTGATTTGAGGAGGCTGAACCAGACACCCAGGATCCAAAGGGACCTGCACACGTTACGGGCCTCAGTCTTGCCACTTCTGACACATTGGGTTTTCTGCACTTACAGCTGGCTACCAAGTGGCTATGTGCAGGTGCGCTACTCTGTTTAAATTCAACTAGTTTCTAGACCTGCAAAAAACAAACTGAAATTAATCTTCACTAATATATATGTCCATTTATATAAATACAAATGCTACCCATGGATAAGGCTGATGGTTTTAAATTAACATAACAACAAGGTCTTTAAGAGTTTCCAGTACTACTAAGCAACCAACCAATATTCTGTACATCAGTTCTAAGGCCACCAGTCTAGACGTTAGCCTAAGCTATGCCTACATAACCTGGTATTAACTCTCCTGTATGACTGGCAGCATACTATATTTGAACTCCATTGTACTGAGAACAGAGTCAATCCTCTTAATTTCTCAGAATGAAAGGCTATTTCACTGTTCGGAAAAACTTCCTTAAAGCCCTCTGATCACTAATCAGAATTTTCTTCTTGAATCCTGTAAACAACTGAGACCTGATATCCCACACCATAGGACTGAACCTACATAGTGCCACACACGAGCGAAACCTGGGAGACAGGAACGAACACCATTTCTCTACCTGCTCTGACCTGGATAAAAGCAGGCAAAACCCAGGTCAAACAGGCCACAGAGGCAGGAAGGGCCAAAGTAACTCAGCTGAGAGTAACCTACTCTGTCAACCTGTCCCAGCCACGGGCTTCATCTGAACACCAGGAGGTGGCAAGGTTCTCTGAGTGATACCACGTTTACTGTTCTGCGACCACGAAGGAAGATTCTTGAACTCTTTAGCCCAGAGACCAAATTTCTTGATCAACAACATTTTTTTGCATTATAATTTCCACTTAGAAATAGTTTCAAAGACACATTAAATTGCTTTGAAGCTCACTGTCTGATCTAACCTGAACTAATCTTTTATATTGGTTTTGAATTTTAATATTAACAAGTGTACATAAAATCACTTACAAGCCTGTGTGTGTCATGTCAAGTAAATAACTTATTATCAGCAAAGCTCCTAGTGACAAAAATAACATCCCAATTGAACATCCTAAACATCATCAAAGTAGAAGCTAATTTCTAAGGAAGCAGCTTTACTTTGGGGGGGGAGGGGGGAGAACAACAACAAATCAAATGCTATTCAGAAATGCTTAAAAGAGTTCATCATTCATTAACTGAATTCTGAAGACAACATTATTTAAACTGAAAACACATTAAAAATAGCTTTTTTAAAAAGCCAATGAGTAGCAAAAGCACAATTTTACAATACAAAAGAATTATGATAAAAATTTTGTTGTATATTCCTTGTCTAAAATTTTAGTTTCATTTTTGAAACGAGCTTGAAAGCAAGTGAAGACATCAATCTTACGTTTTGGGAGAGCTGAGGGGCTTTTTTCTTGATTCTCCTATTATTTTGAATTCCCTTTTCACTAAAATTGAATTCTCCTATTGTTACTCTTTTGATAAGATTGCCATCTGGTGGTGTTTGCTATTTTTAAAAATTGAGCTATTGAGAAGGTATTTCCTAATTTAAATTAACACAATACTTGCTACTACTGTAGTAACAAGAGCCTGCTGTTATTGGACACATTAACTAACTGTGTTCTTCACATGTACGGTCCACTTGTGCAAATGCTTTGCACAAAAGGTCAGATTATCCAGTCCAAAAGGGAACCCTCTCATGTAATTTCCAGGAAATACAACATGAGTCACCAATGACTCCCAAGCTCTTCACCATCACTTGAAGATAAATATTAGAATCATATTATAACAAAACTACAAAGGAAACCTACTCATCTTGAAGACTCTATCAAAAGATTGCTTCTTCTAACCAGCAGGTTGAGCCCAAACTTGTAGTGTTCCAGTACACTGATCTAACAGATTAATACTCTCCAAGGCTTAACACAGCTCAGATAACCTAACTTCATTACTTTTCACTAAATAACAAGACGCTGGCAATGCAGGGTTACAATGAATCCATGGGTTTGCACTACTTAAAAAAAATCAGAAAGCAACGCCAAAAGCATTTGAACGTCATAAGTATCCTAACACCATATTCAAGACAAATAAAAGGCAAAAAACTAAGAATGTCTGAGTATTACAAGCTATATTTCTTGTTTCCACCTAAAAACCACACAAATACTTCAAAAATAAATTTAAAACTGAACTGCGCACCTATAAATTAATTATATTGTGCAATAATACTTTCTGAGCGAGCACTGTACTTTTTTTTCTGTCACGTAACTTGCAAAGCCAGGGAAAAGTATATTAAATACGGTTCTTTCAAAAACTTAACTTGCATTATTTTTACAAGAATCTTACCTTTCAATGGCCAGTTCTTTGTTCGAGAGTTGCTGAACTGTAATCACCACTTTCTTCTCAATTCCCTGTTTAAGCTTGAAATACAGTTTCTCTCTGTCCTTTGGTACAGGGCTAAAAGAATAAAGAAACAAGCTTCTTTAGTGCAGGTATAGAAGATTCACCCTTAAATACAGCAGAGAGCGCAGCAGCCCACTTCAGCTCTCTATGGCTCAACTGATTTGGGAGACCTTCTCTTCCTTTATTCACAAGTTAATAGACAGGTACTGAAGAAAAGCAGACTATAGGCTCACACTTAGTATGCTCACTGTCTGGGGGATTTATCAGACAAATGTATCCAAAAATGCATGGAGTATTTCAGGTTTTAAAATGATAGAAAATGTGCTATATACTGGCTATGAAGCAAAAAACAGATAGGACATTTTCACAGAATTAACTCTTATTATCAACTCTTTCTTCCATTCCAAAAAAAACTTGTAATTAGCTGTTAGGCAAAAAATACTTTGCTTCCATGTCCCCTGTAATGCTTAGAGAAGTGTACATTTTCCAAATCTTCAATAAATTTGGAATTCATTAGCTTATTAAAAAAAGTCTCAAAAAAAGAGACCACTAGACCGCATTTATTCAAGAAAACTGGTTTGGCAAAAGTTTGTAACAGGCTTCCTACAATCTCTTCTATTTACACAGGCCTACTCTGAGCATCCCTACCATAAATCATGTATCTAAAAGAAACTAATTGGCAAAAGGTATCCTGTTTTTTTATCTTTTTATAGTAAACGATACAGAGAAGAATATTGTAAAAGCAAAGCAACAGCTTCCTTTTTATAACAAGTCTACTTATGAAAAGAGGCCAAATCAATTTTACAGCAACACAGTAGCTGTGCATTCTGCAAGTAGGTACATGCTTTTTCAAAGACATTTGTACTTCTCCATTTGCATTCAGGTTACCTAAAATTTCCTTTTCCATCATCTTCTTTGACTTCCAAGGAAACACTGAAAGTGTACACATCACTATCTGGCGTAGGAAGAACCAAGTCCTTCACATCATCAGATGCTTGTTTGGAAGAACGCTTGAATGCTGTTGAGAAACTATACAAAATTCGGCTGACCTGCAGAAAAGCAAAACGTTACCAGTTTTATCAAAAAGAAAAGAGTATTTTTAGTGGGGTATTGTGATGTGGTTTTGAAGGTCATAAAATTACTGTCACTTGCCTCTTATAGTGAACACAAAGCATGCCTCATATAACACAAAACATTCAGATCACGTGTTTAATAACAAAGCAAATTCATTAACAACGTCTCCTATTTCCATTGATGTCACATTCACTGCTCATGTAATGCTCAGTAAGTTAATATATATTACAAGATTAGGAATCCAACTCGTTAGAGGACCTAAATAATGTACTTTTCAGGCTGTGTATTTAACCGCACAACTTACAGCTTGCTCTTGGAGATGTCAAAAAACAAGATTTCTTTTTTTTCAAACTCTATTTTTCCACCCTAGAAAATCCTTTTCTCCCAAACTATCACATAGATGTTCCTAAAATATCTAGGGCAGAGTACTGTAAAATGTTTCTTTGCGACTCATGAGGTCTACACTGCAACTTTAGTCTGAAACTTACCCAAATGAGGCCTAAAAAACAGAATACTTGTCTTAAACGTAGGCTTTATAAACCTTCCCATTACAGTGTACTTTGGAATTTTATTGTAATACTAACGGAAAAAGAAAAAAATTATATTAATATTAATGTATGACTAGCTGCACATTCTGTGAAACTAATTACATATGTGCTAACACATTTGTCAAGGCACTATATACCATTTCCACATCTGGAATAGCTTCTTAAAATACCACTTGTATCCTTTTTACCAGTCACTGTACAACATGTAATACTTACCGCCTCTTTAATCTCACAGGAGAAAACATGAATCTGGAACTCTTCAGTTCCACAGCTGCTTTCAGTAAACGCAAAACAGTCACTCTCTGAAGTCCCATTTTGTCCACGCACACAAAACACCACCTTATAGATTGGAAAAGAGGCTATCTCCACATTGCTTGATTGATCTATTATTCTGTCAAGGGAAGGAACACAGCAAATCAAAGAAACAAGTCAGTAAAACAAACAGGCCTACCTAAAAGGCTTTTCTGCAAGGAGATAAATACCTGAACTGTAATTACTACTAAATTCAAGAACACAAGATGAGCAGCAAGAACAGAAATATCAGGCTTCGCAAATTTAAGATGTAAATGTTTCTGTTGTAACACTGGCTTACTTTCTTTTATATTCCATAGTACAGACAAATACTGTACCTCTATGTCATGCAATAACAACGACCACCATTGCTCTGCAATTGTTTGTGAAAAACACAAGAGTATAAATGCAGAAACCACAGCAACTGTGACAATGATTTGCACACAAAGATCAAAGAAAATCCAATGTTATAAAAGAATTTAAACCTCCATTTAAGAAAACACTAAGAAAACGTTATTTATTCAGAATCTACAGGACTATATAGCTTAGCAAATGCTTGCTGTCATGTTCAGGTGAATATTAACCACAGACCTCAGGGCCTATACTAAATTTTAAATTCCTCTCGAACTCAGAACCAAAAGAGCATTTCAGAAACTTTAAAGAAGACAACATGGATAGTGGTCTCAGAATGTGCTACTAGACAGGGAGTTTTAAAGAGTAACAGTCAGAGCTACACAGTTCTGCTCTGTCTTTTCGCTACTTGTCCATATGCACATTCACATCAAGGGTGAATAAACAAACATTAGTTACCTGGAATAGAATTCCAAGTCTGTAACAATAGAAATCGAGAACTAATCTTCTAAAGGCAAGAAAAATCCTCGCCCAGAGAAGATTCAGCGTACTGTAACGTTGGTGGGACATGTTAAATGGAACCCCACATGACAAGTGTTCAGATACCCGGAATGGAAACACTCCTCAAAGATGACACTGGTGTCACCTGAACTTTGATGGGGTGTATCATGTCACACACAGATTCACCTTCACAGTTCTGTGCAGACTCATAGGCAGCCCTTCGCTTAATGATGTCCTCTGCAATTAAGGATCAAAGGCACCTGCAGTTTCTCTTGCTAAACAACCTCCTTGAATGGCCACAGTGGCTACAAAAATAGGTACAGCACACCTAACATCTCGTATCTGTGTGACAGCTGCCATCATAAAAGTATGCAGTGTAGTTTCCTAGTTCAAATGAAATTTTGCCATACCATCAAACAAAATCTTATGAGTTCAAAGAGCAAAATGGAATAATACATGTGCTTTTAGGTCTTTATGTCTTTCTGTGCAAGATGATAGTCAATACATAGGGAGGCACAGGAAAGAAAAACATTTTAGCCATATCCTTCAGGTATCTTGGTATCAGACTTTAAAAATAAAAATCTTGACTATTGCTATGCTTCCTACTTCTGGATACAAGACTGCCACAGGTGCGCCTTTAGTGGGCCCTGAGTAAGAACCCTTGACTCTCTCATCACTAAATAAAAGACCCTTCTCACATGGGGCAAGTAAATGGTTTCTAGTATCCAGAGCTGATCAGCACATGCATCATGAGGCAGACATAGGTGAGACCTGACATCAGCATAGCAATGCCTGGAAACAGAGAATAGCATCTCAAGTCCTCAACACAGATAGAAGAGTCTAAAACTGAAACTTCTTCAGCTAACCCAAGGCCAGCAGCACTACTACTGTCTCAACGTATTTACCTTGGAGGTGATTACAGACTAGGGAGGTTGGGAGAAAACAGGCATTATTGCTCTCCCTTTCCAGCATATCTCTTACTATCAAATTTGAGCAGAGATGCAGGTAGACAGACACGCTTTTGTTGACACTGTATGGCAACCATCACCAGCAACTATGTACTGCATGTTAAATTTGAGCCAGCATTTTGTTGCATTAGAGGAATTTCTCAAAAATAAGCATCTTCAGCAAGAACTTTAGGCACAAATCCAGCAATTCTACTTCCCTGTGCAAGCTGCAAACTCAGAATCCACCTTTTATGTGTCTGTGCAAGTAAAAAAAGAAACATTTGTATGTTACCTTACAGAGCCTTCTGGAATGTTTGGAACATAAAGCGTTACAGGAAAAGGGGCCTGACTTGAGGATTTCATGTTTGCCATGGCGTGAAGAGCTTCCGGTTCATTTCGAGGGGCAGACACTTTTGTGCAACCTAAATAAGTCAGTTTATTAAACAATACACTGTCCTCTTCCAGGGGTTCACTGGGAGATGATGGCCTTGGTGCAGAGATTTCTGAAAATGAAGAAACCACTTCTTTAACCATTTGTTTTTATTTTTACACTTTGCTTTCTGAATGAGTTCCATAGCAAATTCTCCCACTTTTTCTGAGAATGGACATGTGAGTCAAAAGTCCAGCTCCAATAGCAAGACATCCATTTGGCAGCTTAATATTATCGTTAAGTCTAGTCTATTCTAATGCATGTTTCCAAGTATGGCACAGGGAGAAATTGCCTTTTGATTCTTTTTAGGAGTGCTAGAGCACAATTTTTCTTTGAGCTCCATTCCCCAGATGTTCTTTTCTTTAGTTTACTTATACCTCCTTCTAATCCCTACTCATCATTTTGCATAAAGATGCCTCTAATTCTCTTCTCTCCCACATCTTTGCTGCCATGTAGAATTATTAGATGTGGTTCACATTCCTGGCATAGCTATATTAACTTGCATGCAACCATAAGGGAGCTAGAGAAAAGAAAAAGGCTATCTGTTTTTCCTCTACTGAGCAGAAGAGAAGCGCTCCTTTTCCACTATCACACTACTACGGTCAGGGGTGATCTTGAGGGAGCGTTTGGGGGTTCTGCTGTTATTGTGATTTTCTGGTGGGCTTTTTTAAGGCATTTTGACATTTGAGAAATGAGAGGAGATGTGAAAAAAAATATTTTAGTATTGAATCAGAGTAACCTAGGTTGGAAAACACCTCTAGAGGTCATCTAGCTTTAACTTCCACACAATGACAGATCAGGTTAGATTAGGGCTAGTTTCAAAACTGGATCAGGTTACTCAGGGCCCTGTCCAGCTGAGTTTTGGTATCTCTAAAGATGGACATTCCAAACCTCTTCAAGCAATTTGCCCTGTTGTTCCTATTTCTTATTACTATAGTTAGTATTTCCATAACACTTCAGTCAAAGTTTGCAAAACTGAATTTTTTTTTGCTGGAGGAGGAAGGGGGGGGAAGAAATCTGCAAGTACTTCTTTGTTCATTAACGCTAAGGGTTGTGTTCTGTTTGAAGCACGTCAAACAGGGGGCCAGTAAGGTGAGTTTCTCAAAAATACAGCGCACACGTAATTAAGGAGCAGGGTGTTTCCATTATGCATAAACTGTCAATCTATCACAAAAACTCTCTTTCATTTTTACTTCCCAGGCAGATGTGTCTTGGGTTTGGCCAGGACAGGGTTAATTTTCACCGGACTCCAGGAAGGGGCACAGCCAGGGGGTGGGGGCTGACCCCACCTGGCCAAACAGAGCCCGGTATTCCATACCACATGACGTCACGCTGGGTTCTGGGTTGTGGGGGGGGGGGGCGGCGCGGCGGGAACTCACTCTCGCGGCTCGGGAGTGTGCGGCGCCGGTGTGGTCCGAGAGAGCGGGTGTGTTTTTGTCGTGTTTTCTCCTTATCTGTATCGTTGTTGTTCCTGTTTCCCTCTGTTTGCTGTTCTGTTAAACTGCCCTTATCCCGACCCACCAGTTGCTGCCTTTTTCTTTTCATTCTCCTCCGCACGCCGGCAGGGGGAGGGGCGGCCGCGTGGCGCTTTTGTTGGCGGCCGCAGCCGCAACCCAAA